CCCTCAACCCTAAACCCTAAAGGGGAACTGGCACTTGAGCACGTCAGGCTCCAGACCCCAGCGTGTGTGGAGTCCGATGCGGGACCGATGGTCTTCGCTACGGGGCGGCGTGCCCTCGAACCAAAATTAATGTAGGAGCCTTAATAATTACTTATACCCTTTTGGGAAGTCCTTATTATAATATTTTGTGATAGAATATACCCCGAAACCCCATTCTAATTATTAATGTATTCGGCTTCAAGATGAGGCTGCAGAGGCCACGCTGTGAGTGCGCACCCAAAAGCCTGATAAGCGGATGGCTCTCTCGCGCGACATCGCACTACTGACCGAGTCCCACGTGGCGATGACGAAGAATGCACGAGAGCGAGATTCTAGGGTTTAGGCTTACCTATGGTCTCCAGTGTAGTTTCATGTTTTGGTCAACCAACTCTGTGGTTAGAGAGTTAGGATCCTACCTATAGTCTCCATTGTAGTTCCTTTTATTGGTTTAACCAATTATATATGAAGGGTTTTTATAAAGTATCCCCACAAAAGAATTACAATGGAGACTATAGGTATAACAACTGGTTAACCAGAAAAGGAACTACAATGGAGACTCTAGGTAGGGCTCGGAGATGTTTGGGGTTGAGGGTTTAGTGCGGAGCAGACTGGCACTGGCGGAGCGACGATAACGCAAAGCTGAATGATCAGCAGGACATTCCCAGAGAACCCAATACCCATAGGCCCTAAAGTAGTTCCTTTTGGGGGTTCATATATATATATATATAATCCTATAAAGAAACCCCAAAAAGGAACTACTATGGGGCCTATGGGTACCCCTTAAATAAGGAATATACCTTAACTTATTGGGGGGCCTCCAATGTACCTGTCTACGTACAGCCGTTGTCTACGTGCATCGCCATGTAGACGAGCTCAAGACATGAAGTCTGTATGGCCCAGTTTAAGGCCTCTGCCGACAGGGGCCTCAATATTACGATGTAAGGCATATTGCTTAATTAAGGGGTATTGGGCTCTCTGGGTTGCCTTCAGGTTTCGCGAACGTCTCAGTGACGAAGTCGAGGTGACGAAACCTTCCAACACCAATTTAATGTAGGGGCCTAAATAAACGCCAGTACTTCTTTTTGTTTGTTGGGGGGTGGTTCTTATTATAAGTATAGTAGAATGGTTCCCAAACCCCTATTGAAGTTATTGAGGCCCCTATATTATTGCATTCCTTTACAAAAGCACCCACCACCACAGAGAATCCTTATAATCTGCGTCCTAAACCTCGAACCCAAAGCCTCCTTCTAATACAGAGGCCTAAATTTTGACTTATATATATATATATATACACACTATATTTTTGGGTGTTCTTTATTTTAAGTCTAGTGTAATATACCCCCAAACCCTATATAATTAGAATAGGGTTTTGGGGCCCACTTTACTATACTTATACTAAAGAACCCCCCCCCCCCCCGAAAACATAGCATCGGTAACTATTTAGGCCCCTGCATCACACTCCCTAAACCCTAAACCCTAAACCCTAGTTGGAGAGGAGCCAACCCCGAAAAGAAGGAAGGTCTTGGCCACTCCTGAGGTGGGGCGGGTTTAGGGTTTAGGGTTTAGGGTTTTCAGGGTTGTTGGCTTTGTTTTGAGGGTTTTCGGTTTGGGGTTCATGCAGGGTTTTGGGTTGTGTTGGAGGATTCTTTATGCATTTAGGGTTTCGGGCGCAGGGGTCAGAGATTTGGCTTGTTCTTCAGGGTTATAGCCGGCTAGAGTCGGGTTTGAGGAGGATTGTGCAGATTTAGATAGGCTCTAGGGTGTTTGGCTTTTCCGGCTTCAGGGGATTAGGCTATGGGGCTAGAGGGCCTACACAACTCCGGGCAGCTACCCATTGTTGACCCCATATTTCTAAACCCGGAAGAGGGGTTTCGGTGTTTGGGCCTAGAACCCCCCAAACCACCAAAGAGGGCCTAAAGCCCTGATCCTGTCACCTTTTGGCGACGCAAAAGGTTGCCCAACCCCTGACCATTGTAATCTGTAGTAATCTGTAGTAGTCTGTAGTTAGTCCTTGGACAACTGGACAGCTCAGATGAGTTTTCCGCCTTTTTCATGGCCCACTTGTACTTAGGGTTTAGGGTTTAGGGACGGTTTAGGGTTTAGGGTTTAGGGCTTGTACTTTAATGCTGCTTGGGTTGTCCAGTCGTGTGCTCCGGGGTCATGGAGGGCCACCAGGCATTGTGGCTGCTGCCTACCCATAGTCTCCACTGTAGTTCCTTTTTGGGATTACCTTATAGAATCCTTACTCAATGTAAACCACAAGAAGGAACTACAATGGGAGCCTATAGGTAGATGCAGGGCTTCACCAGGGCTGGTCCTAAGCGAGACTCTTGCCGCACTGTCTTGGTTCAGGTTGAGGCTGGGTGAGGTGGTGCTCATGGTTTCCCGAAGAGGGATGGATGCGGCTTCTGTGGTTTCAGCCCCTAAACCCTATAAGCCCTAACCACCAATCACAGCCTGCTGCAAGCCCTTATCGGCCCTTGAACCGCAAGCCCTCAACCCTAAACCATCAGCAGATAAGGTAGCCTACTTGGGACTTCCTCAGCCCGTAGTAGCCTTATTATAGCTTTTGTTTTAACGTTCATAAGTTGGGCGGCTCTCCCCGCGAAGGCAGAATGGTCGGATTAGGATTGGGGAACGTAGAGATATCATGTTAAAGGTCCCGAATAATAGCAGAATACTCTGCATGTCTTCCTTTTCCGATGTACCAGCAGCTCAAAAAGGCTGTGGCAAACCTGGCGAGCAGCCTGATCGGCTCTAACGAACATGGCAACACTGAAGCAAGATCGAAACTTTGGGTAACATTTTTGGGTTCAAGAATGACATGCTGTGTCACACCCAGACACGCACTCATGCACACATGCATGCAGTCATGCATAATCCATGCATCCATCCGTCCGTCTCCCCATACATGCATCCAACCATCCATTTATCCATCCATCCATCCATCCATCCATCCATCCAGCCATCCATCCATACGTTGATCCATCCATGCATCCATCCATGTATCCAACCATCCACTCATCCATCCATCCGTCCATCCATCCATCCATCCATCCATCCATCCATCCATCCATCCATCCATCCATCCATCCATCTTTCCATCCATCCGTCCATCCACCCCTTGATATTTGCATACATGCTCGCAAGCATACACACTTTACATATCTGTAAATAAATGTGTTGTACATATGCTAAATGTGATCCCAGTGTAGAATTAGGGCATTCATACACAGCTTGGGGGAAGGGAGACGGCGAAGGAATAAGCCTGCGGGTACCATCTAGTCACTAGTCTAATCCAGGAGAGGTGTATACTTCCGGTACATCGACAGCGGATTTCCTCGTCCGAAGGTCTTGGCATTTTTTGTGTTTTAGAAAAGGGGCCCGAAATTGCGGGTCCTTACGTCGGAAAGCAGATCTTAAGCGACAGTAAGCAGGCAGAAGCAACAAGAGAAAACACTAACCAGAACTAAACCCGAAGCCCTGAACTAAACCCTAAAAGCCGAGAAAGCCCCAAGTATAACTATCGTGTAACCCTAGCGAAGACACAGACCCTGAACCCTGAATCTTGGCTCCGTGAACGTAAAACGAAGACACATGAACAAAAGACCCCAGAACATACGGGTTTAGGGTTTGGGGTTTCGGAAGGTGTAGGATTTATAGGGCTCAGGGTGTACAATTCTTATTATGAGACGGCCGATCCTCACACCTGAAGCACCTCAAGCCAGACTCCCGGGAGGATCCCAAAAGTAGATCCCTTAAGGGGGGGTTCCCATAAGGACCCTTTAGTAGTATAGGGTCCCAAATCCCTAAACCCCTAATTTGGGACCCTATAGTACTAGGGGCTCTTTATAGGAACCCCCATTAAGGGATCTACTTTCTGGATCCTCCCGGGGGTCTGGGAAGCCTGTTTGCGAAGGCTGCGGCAGTGCCCGTAGCAGAGCCGCTGTCACCTGTGAAGGGTAAAGCTCCTAAGAGGAAGGCCCGGAACGGTTTAGGGGTTTAGGGTGGGTTTAGGGCTTATAGGGTTTAGGGTTTAGGGTTTAGGGTGGGTTAAGGGTTTAGGGTTTAGGGTGGGTTTAGGGTTTAGGGTTCTGGACATATTGCAATGTATCTCCTAACGCCTCAAACTATCAAGGAGAACGGTTTAGGACTTGTGAGGTCACATAAGTTCCCATGCAGACTCCAAAAGCCCGAAGTATACATCCTTTGTTTCTTAGGGCTTTAGGAGCTAGAATGTAGGGTTTAGGGATTGCTTTGGGCCAGAGAATCTTCTTGAGTGTTGCTTTTGGTAGTTCCGTTTCGGCTTCAGCTACGAGATTCCAGAAGATGGCCTGGTTTAGAGAGTCATCTACCCAGAGACTCCAAAACCCCTTAATTAAGGGATATACCTTAAGTTATAATAGGAACCCTAGTAAGATTTAAGGTATATTCCTTAATTAAGGGGTTTTGGAGTCTCTGAGTACTCCCTGTGTGCATGAAGGCGAAGAATCTTTATGGAAGGTGTACTTTGGGTTGGGGGTTCGGGCGAGGGTGATGGTTTGCAGGCTTTTGGTTGGGGTCTTTCAGGGTACATTTCACCCCAGTGCTTAAAGTTACAAGTTCGATTCATTGGTTCGGCCTGGGGGTATGGGATGAACTACCTGATGCATTCCCTTAGGGTGGGACAAGGCAAGAATTGGTGTGGTCCACCGGTGCTGGAGAGACCCTTTGTTGATAAGGGGATATCCCCTAAGCATGAAGGGCAGCCAGAGGCTTTGTGCAACAGCAAAAAAGCTCATCATGCTAGCAAGAAGAAGTAGAATGAGCACTCTCGTTCTCCTTGTCATCATCATCGCCCTAAACCCTAAACCCTAAATCCTAAACCCTAAACCTATCCTCCAAACCCTCAGCATCTTTCACAAGATTGCTGTCCTCAGAACCATCGCTCTTCTCCGCATGCATGCAACCACAGATGCACGGACACATAGTTCAGAACCAACTGAATCACAATCATATATACAACTTCAGACATTGCCCAGAGGGTCTCAGTGCCCATATAGTAGATATCTTGGGCCCCAAAGTATCTACCATATGGGTAGTTGTCAAAATTATAGTCCCTGTTTGGGTCCGTAGTATAATACGGCACATGATATTTATGGTACCCAAAAAGGGACCCTGATTTTGACAACCACCCATATAAGTACTTAGACCCTTTGGGTTGTTCCATACCATGCAAGTGGATGCTGCGCAACAGGAGAAAAGCACAGACAGACAGAGCGGCCGACAGAGACTGAGAGGCCGACAGACCGACAGGCAGCAGGAAGACAGGCAGACGAGGAGTTAGGGTTGAGGGGTTTAGGGGTTTAGGGTTTGGGGGTTTGGGGGTTTCGGGTTTAGGGGTTTAGGGGTTTAGGGTTTAGGGTTTAGGGTTGAGGGCAGGCAGACAGTTCGGTAGACAAACAAATAGACAGGCGGCAAGCAGACACGCAGACAGACGGACACCCAAGAGCACGTGCGCGCACCAAGCCCCCATCGCAAGTCGCATATCTTGTTCCTTAGCACTTCGCCCCAAACCCTGTAACCCTGCGCACCACATCCCCAAGCCTTAAACTCTGAAAACACTAGCTTCTAACTCCAAAGCACTGAACCCGTCACCCTAACTGGTCTGAATCGTTTGCAGTACAGGCCGTAGAGTCTGTGCACTTAAGTTAGAAGGTGCTACTGAATTTCAGAATATAATCCCTCCCAACAAAAAGGCAACAATAATTGTTCTAACGAAAGTATGCGGACCCCATAGCCTGTATTGAACCCTAAACCCTAAACCCTAAACTCTGTCAGCATGCGCCCTCGGCCTACGCGCTGTGGTCGAAAGATCAACGGACGACTGTGGCCTGGTCCTCGGAGAATTTCAGGGGTTTAGGGTTTAGGGTTTAGGGCCTAGGGTTTAGGGGTTTAGGGTTTAGGGTTTAGGGTTTGGGTTTTAGGGTCCAAGTACTCAAACAGTAGGGTTTCAGGTGCCTAAAACCCTTCAGAATATGGAGTTTGGGACTTAAAACCCTACTATTTGGTGCCTGCGGTTTCAATGATTGAGGTCATCGGGGGGGAATAGTTTGATAGATAGGGTTCTTTGAGTGGCTTGTGGGGTATGTACCTCGTATCTATGGGGTCAGAATTCAGGTGTGCGAAACTAGGATTGTGAGGGGTACCTCACTTTGGGCCCTCATAATTCGTCAGGATTCCACCATTGGATCAAGGTTCTTGATTGGGGTATGCTATAGCCTTTTTATAATATATGAAATCCAAAGGAATAGTATTGGTCGTGCTTCAGGCTTCTAGTTTATAGGTCTGGATGTGTGCTGCGTCTTATGATAGGCAAGGGTTAGGAACAGACACAGAAGCTTCGGCTTAGTATAGGGGCATTCATAATGTTGAATAGGGTTTGGGGGTCGATTATACTATAATTATAGTACGGAACCCCCAAAATCGTATTGGTAATTATTTAGGCCCCTACAGCAGGTGTAAATAACTAACCAATGCCAACGCTCTGAACAACTCTGCAGCATGCATACCCAGAAAACCCAATACCCCTTAAGTAAAGAATATGCTTTAAACCATAGTAGCAAGGCCCCTATAGTTTAAGGTATATTCCTTAGTTCCCTTA